AAAGTTACTATCAATCATATACTATATTAAATACAAATGACTGTATATCACCAGTTTAAAGTATAGTACTGTAGACCTATTATACCAGGGTAAACCAAATATTGTGCAGTACATCAGCAAACCAGTGGCCAATGACCTCACGTTTAATGGATCGCATGAAACCCATGGCCTGTCGGCTCTCATGTGCCCAAACAAACTACTGATGCTATCAAGTGGACCGGGTGTTAGAGAGTGACATGCTTTATGTGCACTATTTCACCTAGATCCAACCAATTATCCAAATAGATTTATATTATGTGAGTAATGAGTGTTTTGTAGGGTTTTAATAACCACTAGGGTTTTAATTACTATTTATTTACAGCTACCCGAGTCTTCGTGGAGCACAGGTAGTCGGCCAGGCAGTCAATAAAGCCCTACCGGCACCCAAACACCACTGTCAGCTGGATTCCCAGCCCTTTTGTGCCTCATTTATACAATTGGATCCCTTTTTCATGCGCCACAACCTGTGCCAAAGTTTATTGCTTGCTCTCTTAACCAACCACCTTGGTCACCTTGGTCACACACGGACTTTTTCTATGGCTCGTGGACGGGTAGGGCAGTCGGTCGCCATCCGTATGGGCCCCGTATAGGAGAGCCAACAGTGTATATATGGGCCCAAAAAGGGTGATTACATGTAAATATTTTATTGTTATACTCATTGTGTTTTTAATCCTTTTTGTTTGTAACACAACTCCCAGTAATTGAGTATATTTTAGTGGAAATATGTTTTGTGGCAAAATGTTAGTTAAAAACACATATAATATAACATAATTAGTATATTCCGTAGAATTATATTTCTAAAATAAGTGGTTTTATCAAAATTAATTTTATTAAATCTTTTAAATTTACTACAAATAACAATAATAGATACAAAATAGCTAATAAACTGGGATTTATTATAATTAATGCCTCGTGTATATATTGACGTAGTACCTAAAGCTATGAGTTTTTCAAAATGAACCAAGAACCTTTTAAATCGCCCTGAACATTTAGATTATGTGGCATACATTAGTAATTTTATTTACTTAATAATAATAACTTTTGCAAACTGACTTTCAAACCTAGCCCAGTGTCCATAGTGTGTTAAAGGTATGGTATGTGCTAGGTGATATTTACATTGTATAAGCCATGTCATTCCCGAACACGCTGTGGGTATTAGTTATCGCATCATTATTTGCTATACATTTGATTAATTAGATTTGTATTATAATATGATATATTAAAATTGCAATCTTAACATCATTAATATAATTGAATATAAAAAGTAACTGGTAGAGTTGTACAAATATAATTAATGTTATTTGATTTTCAATATAATTTGTTTCATTTAATTTGTAATTTTCAATGCAATTTAAAAAGAAATTATTGTATTATTAAAATTAAATAAACAGTCATTTAAACAAATGCACTCTAAATGTTATATTGAATTAAACTTAATCAAAATTAATTATAAAAACTATAATCTAGTCAAATTAATTAGCAAATAGTAAAAAATTGTGCTAACTATAAATATATTACTAAACAACACTTTCTTATGTTTAATAAAGTTATCATTAATTAACAAAAAATTTACAAATAGTATCAAAATTAAACATTAAATTCAATTGAATTTAGAAATAATGATAAGGAAATAGCATTTATAACTAAATTAACACTAATTTAGCTTTTGATTTTATTGAAATAATTTGTATTAATGTTAACATTTTTAATTATTAACTTTTTAAATTGAACTGTATTTTAATTGCAAATTGATTGCAATTATGATTGTAATAAATTGAAATCATGCTTTATTTTAATTAACTAAATTTTATTTTCATTTAAAATTTAAATAATCATAAAGTATAAAATGGATATAAAACTGTACTACATACTGTATAGTATACAGTACAGTCCTATCCCTGTACATCTTATCTAGATCACGATATTTTGAATATTTAAAGATATATAAACAATTACCATTTCAAACATTTTAATTATAATTTTAATAATTCAATAAATTTAATAAAACATACAAAACATAATAAAACATACAGAAACATTTTGTTCCTGTAACAAAATATAGTTTATACTTATAATGAAGTATTAATTAACAGTTAATAGCCTAGCAAAACACGTGTTCAGAGTACATAGAACATAGTACTGCCTAAACTATACATTTTACCCACATTAGTTTGTGGTATCACCTTGGTATATCCTCCCATCTGTTCAATCCCTTCAGATAATCCCAATTTCTTCGCCAATTGTATCGCTTTGTGATCTGATTTCCAACACTTGATGATCACATCATTCCTCTTACTTAATGGCAAAAGTAGGCAACACTTGTGGCCCAACAGCTCTGCTATTTGACAGTTGTCCGCATAAAGAGGTGCAACCAATTGAAGACCCTGATAACACGTCTCCATAATCAAACAGTAGCCCAACACTTGATTCCTGTCATTAATGGCCACTAAACTGACATTATCTGCCGTTTTATAGAAGCCCTCAATCATTACACTTCTGTCTAAACCGCAAACTTGTTGGTCGTATTCAATGACATCGCGGACATTGTCCTCATTCATGGCAACCAAAGAGACGCCTTTGATATGATCGATGAGATCTCTGTCTAACGCCAGTTGTCCTCTCATATAGAGGACGGGCTCACGAATGCATTTGAAATGATGTCGATCTCTGTATATCTCAAACATTTTCATATTGGCGGCAATAAGTCCAATATTGCGGTCGCCCATATGTGCCATTCCTGAGTTCCAAATGTTATTCCCAATACCATGACCCTGGTACTCGGGTTTCACACAATACCCGCCAATAACTGCAAAATCTTCGGACACATTGACTGCACCGCAATATCCAATAATTTCTCCTTTAATTCATTGAATTTAAAGAATAATATTATTTATTCATAAAATTATCGATACTTTTAAATAATGTTAAATGTTGTACACTATAATCATTATAAATACCAGTATCTTGGTCTTGAGCCACCAATAAGCCCTCCGGATCTAGTTTCATGAATACTTCGTTAACATTGTTGATAATAGCGAACCCTGCACCTTTCCATAACTCTCGTACTTCATCGCAATCAGACAAACCCATTGCACGGATTATATAATTAGGTGTTTTACTGATTGACATTTTACTAATTAGTTCATTATTTATTAAATGACAATTTTGAAAATGTTGTAATAATAAATCATATTAACAGTAATAATGGTAGAAATAATAATGATATCTCATTTCATTTATACCCTTATATTTAAAATTCATATCTAAATGTAGATATGAACGATCATTTAAAAATATAATATCAGTGATGTTAGTAAAGTAAAGGATATACAGTATTAGTGTTTCAATGATGACATTGTTATAACAGATTTTTATGTCTAATATACAGATTAGATATTATATTGAAATTTAAAAACATGAATAAACATTTATGGTTGTTTGGTACTAATTATCATTTAACTTAAGTACAAAATCTCTTTAAATGCAATATTATGAATATACGATATAAATAGTTGTGTCAATTCAAACACATGTGTCTTTTAATTAAATTGTACTGTACTTACAAGGTTACATATTATTTAGTGTATAATATACATTCATAATAATTTATAAATTAATTTATTTAACCATCTAGATATTATAAGTTTTAGCTAATAAAAAGTGCTGTTAAATTAAGTTATACTGTACATTAATGTATAAATCAGTGCATAATTACCTGTAGATACTAATAGTGTTAAAAACTTTTCTGTAATTTCTGTAAATGAACCAAAAATTCTCATAATTTTCAAATGTCTATAAATCCTGTCCATCAAAATCTGGATGAAGTCCGCCATCGAGTGTCACAAGCGGTCGCTCGGAGGACACAACTCATGGGTTCGCAGGAAAAAGTCGTACAATTAGTGACCGCTTCCAAGACACAGTCCGTCGATAAGATAGTAGAGGCCTACCGGTGCGGTCAACGTGTCTTTGGCGAGAACTACGTACAGGAGCTGAGCGTCAAAAGTGTGGATCCATTAATCGCGGAGATGTGTCCGGACATCGAGTGGCGACTTATAGGACACATTCAGACCAACAAAATCAATCAACNTATCTGTCTGAGTTTAGGCGTCGCCGAAGAGTCTCTGAAATTAAGTTTCGGAATGACCGCAGACTTTGAAGAGGCCATTGGGTTGGGAAGCGATGAGGTGAGGGTCGGCACAGCCGTCTTCGGTCAACGCAAATACCCCATTGGAGTCCTAACACATGGCAAGTGGGATATGAGTCGCTATACTGATCCTCAATACTTACAACTCATACGCGATAATGGTTTGCAAACATTGAAATAATAGCAATCAGTTGTTATAAATCAATAGTCAATTGAATGCTTGTAATCAGTAAAAGTTACAAATAATTGTAATAAATGTACTAGGTTGTTTGGTACAGAGGGATTTTATAACATTTTTTACTGCCTAAATGTGGGTAAAAATGTATTTTATTTAATAAAAGATTTTAAAAAGTTTGTTATAATGATTTGCTTTGTGGGTTAGATATGGCTATAGACACTGAGCTAGGTGGTAACATAACCATTTATATCCCGGCTATATTCACTACATTGACGGGCACCGGGAACTTAGTAGTCCTGCTTTTCTTAACCCGATTTTATCACTGTTTTTGTAAACTTTGCTCATTTTCTGGTCATTTGCGGAAAAGTAGTTTTTCTCAGTTGACTGGCCATCAGTCTTGTTCACATCATCAGCGCCAGCCGTATGGGCCCCGTAGAGGAGCCCTAAAAGTGTGAATACGAGCCAATAGTTGAATGTTATACTCATTGTATTTGTAATCCTTTTTGTTTGTAACACAAACTCCTAGTAATGGACTATATTTTAGTGGAAATATGTTTTGTAAAGAAATATATGTTAAAAACATCTAATATTACTGTCTCTGTATCGTTGGCGTTGCCTTTGGGGAGCGCTAAACATAAACCCTTTTATCAGTTTAAATTTTGATCAATATTTGTGATTAAAAATATGTTCATATTATTTAATTATGTGAAAACTATGTTATTTCTAATTGTAATATATAATTAATTGTACTGCACTTGTGTATACATGTTAAAACTGTATTAATCAACGCGTTTTGATAATAATAAACATTTGAATATTATATACAAAATAAATAATAATAAATCTTATAAATTATTTAATATTCACAATTATGTTATTATTATAAAATTATTTAATTGTTTAATTTAGAGTTATTCCCAATTTTCGACACAGTTCATAAGTTAAATGTTGTAACATTGTTCCAGATCATTTAAGCTTTGAACAATCAACTTTATCTGGATATTTGTTAAATGTTATTTTATATGTTCACAATTGAATATACTTTCCATATGCACACTTGGTTATAGCTATAGTATCATTTACTGGGATTGACTTTTATCCCCAGATTACTTAAAAATTAATATAAAATATTAATATTTTATTAATTTATTATTAAGTTATTTAGAATTGTTATTTAAATTTAATAAGAATTTAATAATTATAATTGTATTTACATATAAAATAGTATTCACTCTTTCAGAGCTACCAAGTGTTATGAAAGAGAGAGAGAGAGAGAGAGAGAGAGAGAGAGAGAGAGAGATAGTATATTTTATATTAATTTTTAAGTAAGTTACTTATATTCATTCCGTGCATACCCAAAGTGAGAGAGCTAGGTATTTAAATACTATTAAATATTAAATTCTTAATATTTTCAAAATATTTGATATAGTTTACAGACTAATAAGTTAATAATTTACTCATTTTAAGTGTAACCATATATTAGCATCTATCTATCTATATAATCTCTCTCTCTCTCTCTCTCTCTCTCTCTCTCATTGACGGGATTTTAAAGTCAAACCCGTGAGTAGGTATTAAAGTCAAAACAGTTACTTTAGTAAATATATTTTAATAAAATTATAAGGATCGGGGGATCAGGGGATAAAAGTCAATCCCTCATTTGCTTCATAAAATAATATTAATATTCTAATAGTTATAGAAATAATGACGATGCTAAACGCTTTTATTGTGTGTATAAATTGTTTACTGATAATTATTATAAATTTAAATATTGTAATGAATAGTCAGTAATACGTTATTTGATATAATAATGATATTTATATTTAATTTTTGTGTATATGAATACAATGATATGAAAAGAAATGTAAAATAACTCAATTTATTATAATTAAAATATTTAATAATGTACAAGCAAAATTAGTTTAAAACAAAATACAAAAATATTTTATAGTTATACAAATTTATTAAACACTTAGTAAAAGTGTTTGTTCATGAGGTAAGTAGCGTGCTGATCTCATTGAATTGTCAGCATTTTTTATTTTATACGCCAAAAATTGATGAAAGAATTTACATTCATTAAAACCAAGTTTATTCATAATTGATATGGACAAGGAATCATTGGTAATTATATTTTCACGAATACTCCAATGAGTATATACAGCTAGTACCTGGCTACATTCTGGTCTATCATCCCATCTGGGCGTAGCTAGCATGCATCCTAATATAATTTGTAAATTGTGAACAGGTTCATTCAAAACAATGTCGGTTGTTGAATAAGCGAGTTGTCTACAGAAGTAAAATAAAAAATAAAATCTAAATATTTTTAAAGTATAATTATCTTACCTTGTAGTATCCATTCTAGCAAAATCAAATTCGAAAATGTTTCCAGCTATTAGTGCTACACTATAAATATCAGATTTGTGACCATATTTTTGACCCTGTCCGACTTCAGGGGCCATAAATCGCAAATCACCCACGTCACATGTATGCTTTTGTGTAGTCTTGTAGTGAATGCGTTTGTCGTGAACTGTAGCCAAACCAAAGTCACATAACTTAACAAATCTACCATTTTTATCAATTTCTGCAATCAATATATTTTCGGGTTTAAGGTCTCTGTGAATTATCTGTGGATTCATTTCATGCAAATACTGAACACTTTCTAAAATCTGACGGAATATTTCACACGAAATGAAATACTCGACGCAATCCATGGGAACTCCTATTTCTCTCTCAAATATTCGGTGTTTAACTTCAATGACTTGAGCCAAACTATATTGACAATATTCCATTTTAATAAATAGGTGCTCCCCCTCTAACCATGAATCATAATATTTTACAACGTATTGTGATTTTAATTTAACTAAATTTTCGACTTCAATGTGAAGTTTATCGCGTTGCTTTTTACTGTAATCTATATTAAAGTTAAATATTAGAATCTACAAACTTCTCAGATATTAATTTTTATCAAGTGATTATTTTTGGTAATTTTGACACATTCAAAATGTGTTTTTATTTTTATAATTACAGAGTTGTCACTAAACATTCATATTATTTGAAGAGTTTAGAATCTGGAGTGTTATTTTATAATTCATTTTATAACATGTAAGTTGTAAAAAATATTTTTTATATGATACATAATTTATTCACATAATAATTGATATTAAATTATAAGAATAGAGAAAAATGTGAAAATTTGAGAAATTATTACTAAAAACATCATTACATACAGAAAATTTAATTAAATTAAAATATAAAATGTATCATTTACAATTTATAAATTGGAAAATGAATTATGAACTAATAACACACGCCACTCAAATGCTCAAGTATGAAAATTCTACTGAGAAATGAAATATATCCATGTTTAGTTACAAACCTGTATATTATATGTTTTATGTAAAAATATTTATAATCACCTGAAAAGTCAATCTTTTTAATTGCATAATACTTTTTGAATTTTATATCTTTCACCTTAGACACTACACCAAATCCACCAGAACCAATTTGTGAAATTGTTTTAAAGTTATCACTATAGTAGTGTAGCCTAAAATCAAAATGATGCCGCTTTTTGCGCTTAAAATCCCAGTATAATTCTACCGTTATAGGATCAAGTATAATTCTACCAATTAGAAATATTAATGTAAAAGTGTAAATAATACAATGAACCAACATTGTTGTAAAAATGTTTCTGATAGCATTGATTGTGCATTGACCGTTGAAAGAATTATTATTGTTTGCGCAAGTATCATTTGGTAAATTTAAATCGTTATATTTGATTGTGCAGCATGACTTATGTTTGCTAACATTAATAATACTGCTGTCGTATACATAATAATTACCACAGCAACTTTCACTATAGAGATTAATTTGTACTTGTCCCATTTTGTGAATGTTCACTGTTGACCAACCGTTAAAAACAGTTCCCAGTTTCATTTTAAAGTTGTCAGTTTGGATCTGAATAATTTTTGTAATATTTAATTTACAAAAATATAAAATTAAAATTTCTTAAATATCTTACTTTAGAAAATCCAGTATACAAAAAAACTAATAAAACAAATACTGTGCCATAGTTTAAACCGATTAATGCTATACTCTGTATATAAATATAGCATAGACTTGTAAAGTATAATTAGTCAATTTAAAAAATATGTAATTTTTTAATATAATTAATTAATATTAAATATCAATATATCAATGTTAGTTATACTTGTATTATATTTTATTGTTATACTGTATTAATAACACTGAACCTAAAAGGCTTATCAAATAACTCACAATTAAATGGCGGTTACCTTCCCATTGTTCTTTATTGTTAATTTTGGCAAATATTGATATGCAATAAGATATAATAGCCCAAATGAATAATCCAATAAATAATACATTGCAAAGAATATACATAAATGATACAATAGGAAAGTCAATAAGATTTAAAAAATGTGACCATCTATAGAAGTTATCAAGCACATACATTTGTGTAATGATGGAAATCTAATAAACAAATTAAAATATGTATAAATATAAATAATTATGATTTATTTAACTCTAAACTTTCAAATAAATTATATAAATATTTCTATATTAGGGAAAAATTAAATATTTTAACTTGCAATTATGAGAACAGCAATGATAATGAAAAATTTTTCACATTTATTATACAACATAGTTTTCATTATGTTGCTTATGTTTTTAAAAGATTATTAATGTTATATATTATATTTATTAATTATGTAACTAACACTGGATTTAAAATATAATTAAGTTATTTAATTGACTTATGATACAAAAGAAATGATGGAGGACATAATTACTATAGTAACAATTATTTTATTTATTATATTTATATCGTTACTTATTATTATCAATTTCACTTTGATTTGCTATGGTGATCGAGTACCATTACTTTTATCTACTGTACATATTGTACATCTACTGTACATTTATCTATTGTTTTATACAAGATTGTTAATATGTATAACATAAAAGTAAAATATTTTATAATAAACATTTATTAATACATTTTTACTAAAACATTAGTTATATAAACTAGAAAAATTACAGTCCAGGTAACTCAACCCTCTAAAAGCGCAATCTTAGCGGCAACATCATGCTCAACTCGACGCGTCATGTTTGGCGTATCAGTAGGGGTGTGGGCTTGCTCATTTCAATGGCCTCAATCAATCCGTTAACACTTTCCATATATGCTATTAACTCAAAGCTCTCGGCAGTCCGACCCTCCCTGCCCAATTTAGCCAGTTCATTATCCACATCTATTTTCACGACTTTTAATTCATTTTCAATCTCGTCCATAGTGTAAGTCCCATTACATGAACCGGTAGGTATTGACTCGGATACTACTGATGGGCGTTAATTAATTTTACATGGATAATTAGATTTTTATTATTATTTAATAAAAATATAATAAATATCTCGTCCATAGTGTAAGTCCCATTACATGAACCGGTAGGTATTGACTCGGATACTACTGATAGGCGTTAATTAATTTTACATGGATAATTAGATTTTTATTATTATTTAATAAAAATATAATAAATATTTACTATTAGCTGCCCATAGTAAAATTGATATAATAAAATATTTCATAATTATTAACTAAAAAAATTATTAATTAATGGATTAAATTGTTTTTTAATAAAAAATATTTTCCTCTTTAATAAAATTCTAATATTTATAAATTAATATAAAAACTTATCACCCGGATATTATTGATAAATAATGAAAGCATATGTTTTCATTTTACATTATTAAAGTAAAAATATATTTCATAATTATGAGAATAATGTGCAATATCCCCATAAATATATCTGATATGAAAATAATCTTTTAAAAACAGACACCCTTAATTATTATTTAAGACATTTTTTGTTTAAAATATTTCATTATATAAAGCAAATATTTTTAATGAAAATAGACTCAAATATGAGAAATGAACATTTGAAGAAGCATTCTTAATAATAATAATGAATATAAAAATTAATCATTTCTATACAATTAATGTGTGAATCACTGCATTTCGATATTCATATTATTTTCTTTGTAAAAGTGGTTTTAAAAACTTATTTCTTATATACACTAAAATCAATAAAAACTTATTTGACAAATGCAAACATATTGAACTAACTTATCTAATAACCTGACAGTCGCATTATTTTTGGTTTTGACCTTGGTATTCGTGGAAGCTCAATGTAGATATTTAATTAATTAATGACTAAAATATATTAAAATAATTAACAAAATTACAATTTTAATATATAGATGTTAAATGCATTTTAAACTGCTATATGGGCAAACACTGTGGTAGTCTACGCAATACTACGAGACCAGGGTGACAGTCTTATTGTCGGCAAATTGCTGGATGAGTTCAGTCACTTGTTTGCATTTAGAGCCCCGGGGTTCAGGTGCCGGCAAAATGGAGGTGAGTATGACTTTAGTGTCGGGCAGTTTGGCAGTCAATTCAGTCAACACTTGCTTTACTCCGTGAACAGTATCCTCGACGGTGTTATTCCAACCGATATTATTCGTGCCTTTGGTTTCACAACTCAGTAATTATAATACAATTATAACAACAGTTTTTTAATGAATACTAAACCACCATAAGGACAGCCACATTAGGGAGAGGTTTAATTAAAATTGTAAAATAAATGGTCTAATTCAAATGTATTTTGCAATAAATTAAAACAAATAAATTTTATTAATTATTAATATTTTGAAATCAAAATATTACAATGAAGCATCTTTACATAATTTTATATACTACAATAATTAACATCAAATATTTACTTTTTAACAAATAAATAACAGTGAAATGTTTTTAAATTGTAGCCCATGATTAAGAAATATTCATTTTTATACAAATATTTTGTAATAAATTGAAATCATGCTTTATTTTAATTAACTGAATATTATTTTCATTTAAAATGTAAATAATAATAAAGTATAAAATGGATATAAAACTATATAGTATAGTCTATACTACATATAGTATACCATCTTACCTAGATCAGGATATTTTGAATATTTAAAGATATATAAACAATTGCCTTTTCAAACATTTTAATTATAGTTTTAATAATTCAATAAATTTAATAAAACATTTGTTCCTGTAACAAAATATAGTTTATTCTTGTAATAAAGTATTAATTAACAGTTAATAGTCTAGCAAAACACGTGATCAGAGTACATAGAACATAGTACTGCCTAAACTATACATTTTACCCACATTAGTTTGTGGTATCACCTTGGTATATCCTCCCATCTGTTCCCTCCCTTCAGATAATCCCAATTTCTTCGCCAATTGTATCGCTTTGTGATCTGATTTCCAACACTTGATGATCACATCACTCCTCTTACTTAATGGCAAAAGTAGGCAACACTTGTGGCCCAACAGCTCTGCTATTTGACAGTTGTCCGCATAAAGAGGTGCAACCAATTGAAGACTCTGAACACACGTCTCCATAATAAAACAATAGCCCAACACTTGATTTCTGTCATTAATGGCCACTAAACTGACATTATCTGCCGTTTTATAGAAGCCCTCAATCATTACACTTCTGTCTAAACCGCAAATTTGTTGGTCGTATTCAATGACATCGCGGACATTGTCCTCATTGATGGCAACCAAAGAGACGCCTTTGATATGATCGATGAGATCTGTGTCTAACGCCAGTTGTCCCCTCATATAGAGGATGGGCTCACGAATGCATTTGAAATGATGCCGATCTCTGTATATCTCAAACATTTTCATATTGGCGGCCATAAGTCCAATATTGCGGTCGCCCATATGTGCCATTCCTGAGTTCCAAATGTTATTCCCAATACCATGACCCTGGTACTCAGGCTTCACACAATACCCGCCAATAACTGCAAAATCTTCGGACACATTGACTGCACCGCAATATCCAATAATTTTTCCTTTAATTCATTAAATTTAAAGAATAATATTATTTATTCATAAAATTACTTTAAAATGTCAAATGCTGTACACTATAATCATTATAAATACCAGTATCTTGGTCTTGAGCCACCAATAAGCCCTCGGGATCTAGTTTCATGAATACTTCGTTAACATTTTTGATAATAGTGAACCCTGCACCTTTCCACAACTCTCGTACTTCATCGCAATCAGACAAACCCATTGAACGGATTATATAATTAGGTTTTTTACTGATTGACATTTTACTAATTAGTTGATTATTTATTAAATGACAATTTTGAAAATGTTATAATAATAAATTATATTAGCAGTAATAATTGTAGAAATAATAGTTATATTTCCTTTCATTTATACCTTTATATTTAAAATTCTTATCTAAATGTAGATATGAACGATAATTTAAAAATATAATATCAGTGATGTTAGTAAAGTAAAGGATATACAGTATTAGTGTTTGAATGATGACATTGTTATAACAGATTTTTATGTCTAATGTAAGATTAGATATTACATTGAAATTTAAAAACATATGAATAGTTGTTTGGTACTAATTATCATTTAACTTAAGTACAAAATCTCTAAATGTAATATTATGAATATACGATATAAATAGTTGTGTCAATTCAAACACATGTGTCTTTTTATTAAATTGTACTGTACCTACAAGGTTACATATTACAGTATTTAGTGTATAATATACATTTATAATAATTTATAAATTAATTTATTTAACCATCTAGATATTATAAGTTATATCTAATAAAAAGTGGTGTTAAATTAAGTTATACAGTACATTAATGTATAAATCAGTGCATAATTACCTGTAGATACTAATAGTGTTAAAAACTTTTCTGTAATTTCTGTAAATGAAGCAAAAATTCTCATAATTTTCAAATGTCTATAAATCCTGTCCATCAAAATCTGGATGAAGTCCGCCATCGAGTGTCACAAGCGGTCGCTCGGAGGACACAACTCATGGGTTCGCAGGAAAAAGCCGTACAACTAGTGACCGCTTCCAAGACACAGTCAGTCGATAAGATAGTGGAGGCCTACCGGTGCGGTCAACGTGTCTTTGGCGAGAACTACGTACAGGAGCTGAGCGTCAAAAGTGTGGATCCATTAATCGCGGAGATGTGTCCGGACATCGAGTGGCGACTTATAGGACACATTC